CCTCCAAATTTGAAAAAGGTTCAGGAGGAGAGGTCCTTTAAACACGAGAAGGACGGGATCCGACGTCAGTTGGGCGAGCCGAATGGTACTTATGAAACGCACGTATTATGAGTTCGCCGCTTGTTGCCTGCCCACCTTCGAACATTTCCTCAACTTTTGTTAGATGCCATTGGAGAGACACATGCTGTCTATCGTTAGGGTGGGCTTGTGATTGAATTCAGAATGGTCCTTATTTCTGACCTTGCTGTTGTCCCTCCTTTTTCGGCCACATTTAGTCTCGATAATGACCGTTAATGAAGTACCTCTAATTTAACAGGTTGGATATTCTCCACACTATTTTCTTCGATAAGTAACCATACTCTCTTCTTTCTCTTTACTGCACCACCTTTTTCTCAAGTGGGAATTGTTTTTGTGAGGGTTAACAGAGCCGTAGCAAAAGGAAAGAATGGAGGAGACAGCCAGAGAGATTTAACAAATCCTCCATTTGTAAATGGTCGAAAGCACTGGAAACGACAGTTTTTCAGGTCGAAGGCACTGGAAACGACAGTCTTTCAAAAGTTCATTTGAGACTGAAGGTGGGGAAATGCGAGTTAAAAAAACAGTTCAACTCTGATCGATAGTTTCACGATGTGATCCCAGCTCCATCAATCACATATCAGCTTCTGAAATATGAAGGATAATTGTTCAATTCATCATAATTTATGGCACTGCCAACATATTCTCATCGATATCGATAGCTTTCAAGCTTGCTCACTCCTTTCTATAACAAAGAACACCAACAACGGCGCCTTTTTTTACTCTACTTGGATTATTCCCCAAAAGTACCTTCATAAAGAAGTGGTGGTTTCGGGGTTGTTGCCGGTCCTGATCCAGGAAGAGCCTGAGGATTTCCTAAAACGAGATAATTTTCATACCTTGAATTTTCCGAGAATTAGCTCAATTTTTTTCTTTGCCCACTGTTGCCAAGCTCTTTTCTACAGTCGAAGACATTCATAACTGCATACGAAAGCAGACGTTTAAATTTACGTGGGGCTTATGATGAACGTCGGCATGACTGAGTTGTTTTCCTGAACTCTTCTCGCAGCTTGTATATAAGCTTCGTCACACTGACGTTTTGACGGAATCGCCTTCTTCACAACCCAAAGGTATCGTAAAATTCTGACAATTGCGACACTCCCATCAAATGTCCCCACTGAACAACCGGAGCTCGAGGCTCCGCATAGAACACAGATCATCGGAGTGAGGACACCGTAGCTTTTTGGATTCTTTGGAGGATGTGTGGGATAGGTCTTCATTACTAACAAAGAGAGCATGTCATCACGTTTTGTTCGAAGCGCTATTCGAAGTAGAGTAATTTTAACGTTGAGCACCCTGAAGTCGCATCGCGGGCTGCCGAAGGGATCGTCTAGCTCTTTTCATAAAGAAAACTCCGGAAACAAGCGCTGATTCGAACAGTGGCAGAGAAAACGGTTCCCTTGATGAACTGAGTCAATTTTTAGCCTCATCAGCAGAACTTCTTTAACGAGCCTTGAACTGATTCATATAAATTACCTTGCACTCCCACAGGGCTTGGTATCGAATCAAGCGGTTCGCTCCCTGGAACAGTATGTGTTACATCGCCTTAGTACATTTTCTAAGTAATGAAGGAAAATCGATATATCAATCGTCTTATTTACAAGAGATCAGAAGTAACTAACATGGCAGGCTCTCTTCTACAAAGTTTTGGCCGTTTACATTTTAATTCCTTGAACTGATTCAGAAAAATTACCTGGCGGCATTATAACTGGACCTGGTCCAAGAGGAAGGAGAGACTTCTCTGAAAACATACATTACACAGCATTTTTCCAATGTCTAGGTAGTTAGGAAAGCCCGATGTATCCATCATCTTACAAAAACATCAATAATAGGTAACATGACAAGCTCCTTCACAATCAGCCGCTTACAATCTATCTCCTTGAATTGATTCAGATAAGTTACCTGGCGGCAGTATAAGTCCAAGGGGTTGGGGAGGCTTCCCTGAAAACAGTATCTATTGAATTGCATTTCTACAATTTCTAGGTAGTGAAGGAGACTCCATCTATCAATAATAGATAACTTGACAGGTACCGTTCTACAAATGGAAATGTCACAACTGCATACAACTTTTCCTGCTTACAGTTTAACCCCTTGAATTGATTTACAAAAGTTACCTAGCGGTATCACAGGAAGTGGTCCAGGGGGAGCCTTCTCTGAAAACAGTATCTATTACATTGCATATCTCCAATTTCTAGATAGTGAAGGAGACTAGATCTGTCCATCATCTTACAAAAATATCAATAATTGGTAAAATGACAGGCTTCTTTCTGTAAATGAAGACGTGAGGAGAATCTAGATGAGATGTGTTCACAATTACATACAACTTTGGCTGCTTACACTTTAATTCCTTGAATTGATTCAGATAAATTACCTTTCACTATCACAGGGCCTGGTCCAAGGGGAAGGGGAGACCTCTCTGAAAACAGTATCTATTACATTTCATTTCTCCACTTTCTAGGCAATGAAGGAAACTCGATCCATCAATAGTAGGTAACGTGACAGGCTCTCTTCTACAAGTGAAGACTCTCACAAATACAGATTGTCCCCAAAAATTATAAGCAGCAAAAGAAACTTCTGAAGCAGAGATGATTTACCAATCTCACTTCATTCTTTATTAAATATTTGCACAAGTAGGTTTCCTTGCAATCTGTATAGTTACCAAGGTAGGACTCATATCCTCAAGATGATGACGGCTAATTTAATGCTACCTGCAATCGTTTGCATGCAATGGGCGGAAGGACATAGTAAAATTGCTTCCGATTTCAATAATGATCGAATGGAAGGCTAGTTCATTTGCTTTGATCGTAATCTTGAGTGATCCATCAAAAAATGGCGATGGAGCAGGGCTTATTTAAGTCATCAGTGAGCGGATTGTCAAACAAGAGCTTCATTGCTGTTCTCATCGTATACAGGATTGCTACTTCATTTGCAATCTATAGAAATCATAGGGTCTCAAGCGGAAACACCTTCATCGTTTTCTCCTACGAGAAAAATTTCAAAGCCAGTTTTCGAGAAACAATACGCCCTGTTCTGCATAGAGAAATGGTAAGTGCAACCTCTCACAAAAATTGCTGTATGAACAACAAGATATTTTTTTTTCGAGGAATTTATTATCAATGGTAAGTTGGTGACCCCATGGTTTCTCGGTTTTCGGCGTGAAAGCTAGTGAAATCTAACAAAGACGTTCATTTAAAGAGCATCCTGATGTATGTACTGGAGCACTGGTTAGACTCCGCTTTCTAAAACAGCCCCTAGCCCTTAGGGCAGGACGGTGCTCCAGCCCACACAGCCAAGCTCTCCCGGGAGTGGTGCCGACGCTAGCTGTCCGACTTCATAGCAAACAGGTATGACCATCCTGTTTTTCAGATCTTAACTCACTTGACTTCACTGTATGGTCCCTGATTAGAGGAGCCTGTCGGGTTTGGATCATGAAAGCAAGAATCAAGAACGGCCGAGAGAAAAATGAAGTAGGGACACTTGCGTGACACATGCAGGGGGAGTTCGAGAGCAGACTTAGAGCTCCAGTCCGTGTTAATGGGTGATATTTGGAAATGTGGTTGTAGCTTGCTGTTGTAAATTATGTAAGCAAGCGTGCATATAGATTTCATTGTTATTCTCTGCTTAGAAGTTTCAAATTCATTGCAATGAATAGGCGCCTATAATTTCGGGTTGCCCTAGGTATACAGTTTCGGCCGCTTACGCCTTATTCCTTGAATTGATTCAAATAAATTACCTAGCGGCACTATCACAGGACCCGGTCCAAGAGGAAGCGGAGAGTTCTCTGAAAACATTACATTACACAGCATTTTTCCAATGTCTAGGTAGTTAGGAAGGCCCGATGTATCCATCATCTTACAAAAACATCAATAATAGGTAACATGACAAGCTCCTTCACAATCGGCCGCTTACAATCTATCTCCTTGAATTGATTCAGATAAGTTACCTGGCGGCAGNTATCAATAATAGATAACTTGACAGGTACCGTTCTACAAATGGAAATGTCACAACTGCATACAACTTTTCCTGCTTACAGTTTAACCCCTTGAAATGATTCACATAAGTTACCTAGCGGTATCACAGGACCTGGTGGAAGGGGAAGCGGAAACGAACGGATTCCTGAAAATAATATGAAAAACGATTTCGCGTGGTATCCTTCAAACTTCTAGGTAGTGACGAGTGGCTCAATCTACCCGTCATCTTACAAGAGTATCAATGATTAGTAAGATGATCACTTCTTTATCGGAACTGAAGACAACTACTACTACAAATACAATCGTTTAGGTTATACACTACGACGAATTGATTGAAATAAAATACCTGTCGTTAATACAACTGGTCCTGGTCCCTGTTGATTTGGACTGGGAGTAGATGAAAGAATCCGTGGATAGTATGGAGGAAGTAAGAGCCCTAAAAAATGTTCAGGTCTTTCGAAAAAGCAATTCTTTTACAAAAATGAATTCTGCTCTAGTTTACTACAGTTTTACATGCTGACGGTAAGGTTGATATGTCATAATAGTTTTCCGTTGAGTGAGCTAGCCCGATTGCTTCCAAAACTGGAAACCGCTATGCACCGCTACGGGTGCGCTTAATGCTCCATTTTAATCAACTCATTCGCTTAATTTATTCTAAGACTGAAAGCACCTACAACAACTGGTGCAGTAAGTCCCATGCTCCATTTATTCAAATTATTTACTTGATTTACCTATGGGTCTGGGTTGAAACGTAGTTTGCCCTGCAGCAGCTGTGATGATTACAAACAAGATAGCGACGAAATACATCCTGAAATGGTCATTTCTTGAAGTGAATGTGAAGGCAGCCCAAGCAAAAAGGTCTGAAGGGGCTGATGGAAGAGCTGATTCTCGGCGGCTATATATAGTCCTAATTTTATGGTATTTTCTATCCATCTTAGTGCCATAATTCGAAAAAATCCATTGCAGGCCGCTTCATACCTGCGAGAACAAACCTTCATGCTAGAATTATTCTGCCACAGAAATCTTTATGGCTCATGAACTATGTGAAAGTTTTCCTGGTGAGCATGTTTTTATTGGAATAATAAGAGCCACTGGTGAACGACGTGGCAAACGATATTCTCAAAGATGACAAGTGACGAAATCGGNGGTTTCTGATATGTTCAGGCATTTTACCAGATCCTCATAATTTTCAGTCTTTGAAAGAAGATCTTGTCGTATTTGCTTCCTTCACCACTCCATTCGCTTTCTTACTTGATTCGTTTCCTTCGGGCAAACAACCATATCGTCTTTATCTTTTTGATGTGAAGGGTACTAATCTACACAGATCTCTTTCTCTGAGCGTTAACTTTTCTTTCGATGGACTTTTGTAGAGACTCAAATCATGGAGCCAAGAAGAAGTGCTGGCCACTACATGACCTTCGGTGGATGGTACAGGTGCTTTGTAATAGGTCGGAGGCTTCCGGAAACACAACATTCAGGACCATGCCCGAAGCTATAACGGAACGTCGAAGATATCTGTGCTTCTCGCTGACCATGACGAAGATTTATGACATCCTTGGGGGGCAAACGTCATTGATATTTGCCCATAAAAGCAGGTGGATTCAATAGAGGGGGTCCATTTTCTCTAGGTTGGGTGGATTTTTACCTTATATGTTCTCGCACGTGTAATCATGTATGCTTGTATGGAGGGTCTGCAGATGTTGTTGCACATCGGATTGTTCAAAATCTTGCCTTCAAATAATAAGAAATAAGGGAGAGGCGACCCGAGGTCGCCTTCTATATATAAGTTATACCCTTGTACGCACTTGAATGGTATTTCTAGCTACTCGAAGTATGCCCAGCCCTTTCGTCACCACCTGAAAAGCTGCTCGTGTGTACATATCGTCACTCTTTGGGACCCCTTTTTCGGACTCCGACATGGTATCACGTTGATGGAATCTTATGCGGCACGCGGTACCGACAAAGATGACCCGGGGAATCTAACAAGCCTTCAGTCGGTTATCGTCAAAACTCTATATCTGTTATCATGTTGGCATCTATGAAAAGGACCATGCCAAGGACAGTGCAT